CAAGACAATAAAACCATCGCAGGCCTGTGCAATCAGTAACATTCAGGTGACTGTATGTGCAAATAAAGCTGGAAATGTAATAAATTGACAGTTATTAGGAATTTCTATATTTCGTAACTAACTTGGCAATTTTTTTATATATATATAAATTGGGCAACAAGTTACATAACATAAAGAAACATTATCGAAGATAAAGAAAAGTTTATTAGGTTTTCACCACGTGTATTGACGTCAGAAATACGGTTACTGCCGAAAGATTAAACCCTTAATTCGGTTAGAGACATAGACTTAATGTAAAGCTTTTAGTATGCATATAATTACAAGTTTCAGTATCACAAAATACAAATAAAAATTAGTAAACCTGATGAATCTTTTTTTTTGAGTATGAATGTTACTGATGGAAATGCAAATTTGATAACATTAAATTCTTCATTTGCCAATAAAATTTAAAAGACGCTAAACAAACTTTATAGTCATGCTATTCGTCTATTTACTTGTGTAAGTACTTCAGAATTTCTCGTATTTATGCAACGTATAAATAGACTACGAATGTAAACAAGAGGGATATCCTTAATAGCCGCTGAAATGGAAATTCTTTTAGGCAGGATTGGAGTAAAATAATGTATGAGACTTTTTTGTTTTTATTAGATATGTGTTTGTGCGCCAGCAATACCAAGCGTGGGTCGCGCGTATACTCGGTTCGATTTTTTTAGTCATCAGGATCTCTACCAGCCTATCCTCAAATTGAAATTCTTTTAGGTAGGATGAGAGTAAATTAATTCATGAGACCTTGGGCGTGGTTAAATATATCAATCGAAAGGGTTTGACCTCCTGAGTCCAAAACTGTAATTAGATCTCAAATTGGTCAAGAGATGACGGACCTATGAGCTAAAGTTTATACTTGAAAAACTCAGAGCCATTCTATGAGCCATTATGCCGCGGCTAAAAAGTTTCATTGCATCCTCTTTTTTCTATAAGCTCTATTCTCCTCCTCAATGATAGAATAGCCTCTCCTCCTTCAATCATGTTCATTATCAATGTCTCAGTAGGTTATGACGCATCATATATTCTTTCAATTTAAAGAGTCGTTCTTAAACATGTTTGGACTTGTCTGGTCATGTTATTATATTCATAACAATAATAAAAATGACTTTTTTCCTCCTCCACACATATATCTCTTAACTGTCTTAAGGTGTGTATCTCTTAACCGTTTAGCGAAGTTCTGGAAGGTTCCTTTTATAAATCACAGGGGAATGTAGTGTATGAAGAATAATTAATTCCTCAACTTGACACTAGGGAACATAATATCACAGTGTTTTTGATAATAAGTAAGACTCTTTTTTTCTCATTCATTAGTTCATCAAAATTCTTCAAAATCGTTTCAAATGGATGCCCCCCCACCACATAATAGTTGCTATTAAACAGTATTTGAATATTTCTCACACTTTTAATTTTATGTAAATGTCATAGGATTTGGTACTCACTAAATATAATACAAAAAAGAACAAACGTTTTATTGGAAAATAACCGACTGGACTTATTCTATGCTAGTTTATTTTTTTTAATTAGGTTAGGGACGTGAATAAACTAAATGGGAAGATGAAGTGGAGCTTTTAACAAAGAAAAAAAAATAATATTTTAATTTTTGTTCTTTAAATCTATTATTCATTATGTCGCATTTAGGACATTATTCTGTTCAGGAAACACCCATTTTTTTTAGGATTCTAGGCACCACATTCTCATATTGTTTGTCTGGAAACGCATAAATCAAGAGGATAATCTGAAACTATTTTACTTACAATTTAAGTATGATCATCGTCGTTAACAGGAAATTTATCGTAAAAATGAATCAAACATACTGTTATAAAGCAAATTTAATGTTCCAATATTTCATGTTATAGCTTAGTATGTAGTAAGGCAGAGAAAATGGATTAATAGAGAGTATACGACACAATATGCACGTAGACAAGACTAAGAAACTCCACATTCTTATCTTGATAAGTGATAAAATATTTTGCGTGTATAATTAATAATGTGCTTAATCTGGAATCATTCTGAAATACTTGTGTTCATAAAAGTGTGTTTTAAAGTGAGCCAATTAAATAGCTTCGATCTTTCCACGTTTTAGGGGAAGCTGATGGATACTCGTGAAAACCTGGTAGATGAAAAAGAAAACCCCAACAGACCGTTTGGAGGACAATTGTTTTTAAACTGGTCCCATCAGGAAGTTCAAAGGAAAATGAACTCTGCTTTCGAGTTTTGGTTGCAGAAAGGTGTGGACGGTTTTTATATTAAAGATTTAGAACTCCTTCAAGTTGGGCTTGAGAGAGACTTATATATCGTAATGAAACACTGGCGTATTCTCCTGGACAAATACAGTTCGGACACGAAGAAAAATATATTACTTGTTTCCTTTCCTTTTTTACAAACCCTGAAAGAAACAAGGTCACGATTTCTGAGGTCTCTGTTAAACTTTTGTGATATCATTGATTTTCAACTCAATTTTAATCTATCGAACCCGTTGGATCTTAAAGTGCAGTTAAACGTAGCAGATGAATGGAGCGCCCTCTCACCATCGTCCTGGGTTAACTGGCATCTAGGTAGCGCTGAAACAACGAGGCTGAGTACGAGATTAGATGCAAATTATACCTTGAGTACGATGCTTTTACTGCTGGTGTTACCTGGGTCAATTTCACTATTCTATGGGGACGAGATTAACCTCCGGGACTCCTTAGATATCCTCACTGGAAAGGTAAGAATTCCCGAACATTTCTTATTCACAGAAACTAAGTATAGATATCGAGGAATTCTACCATACAGTGGATCATATTTATGTAAATTTAAATTAATTATTCTAAAATCAAAGATATGTCCTCATTAATGAAATATTTGTCTGTAGTTTTTGTTCATTTTATCAAACTTAAAGTATTTTTGAATTAGATTCGATGA